GGAATTGTTTGAAATAAAAAGAAAATGTTCAATGATTTGAAAATTTTAGATTTAGGGTGGGTTTGTGTAATAATTAAAGATTATAAATTAAAACAAAAATATAAAATAGAGATTGGATGTATTTAGATGTTATTAAGGTTAAACTTGTCAAAATAAAACTAAATTTAAAAGTGGGGGATACTGATCAATTTGATGAGAGCTAAAAATCACTTTCCAATTATATATTATAAGTGGAGGTATTGGCATCTCACTAAGGGACTAAAGGTGCCCCATTTCTTAAGACACCCTATTTCAAAGTTTTAAAATTGATTTCTTTTATCTTATGGCACCTTTTAAATTTCATAAATGCCCTTCATGCTATTTTTTCAAAGAGTTGACATTTTATTCCCTTCAGTTATGTTGTATCAAACCACACCCCCACACTCAAACCACACCCCCACACAACACCCCCACCCCCCCAACCCCCCCCCCCACCCCCCCCCCCCCCCCCACCCCCCCCACCAAAAAAAAAAAAAACTTTAGATAATTAAATCTAAAGTTTATAAAAATTAAAGCTAAAAAAAAAAAAAAAAAATCCTTACAAAATTCCAAGACATGATATAGTTAATTAAGGGATGCATTTGTCATTATAATTTTAATAAAAGTGGGGTTTCTTTAGTTCATTAGTGGAGTACCAATAGATCCCTCATTATTATTAAATAGTAGTGTTATTTAAGCCCCTATAAAAAATCTTTTTAGGCCCGTTAGTGATTTTTTTTTAAAATAAATATATATTTAAGTTGAAATACAAAAAAGGTATTTGTAATTAGGAACATAAGTACGTAGAATTTATAACAATCTTCCTAGATTAGTCAAATATCTAACTCTCTCAGTATGAAATTCTTTTAATTATAATATTTTAAATACGTTCCTCCTAACTCATAACTTGGAATTTCGATATCATCTAATTTTTGCTCATCTCAAACCTGTTTCTTCTTTTAAAAATGAGATCAAATGCTTTTGTTCTCTCTCTCTCTCTCAGAAACAAGACTTGAACTATTATTATCACACAAGATATCGAGTTCAGATTATTTGTAGCATTATTTTCAGGAATTTCTAGTAGAAAGTGTTGATCTGGTTTGAATATTTTTTTGTGAAATTTCTAGTAAACTATTCCATTCTAATTTCTTGCGTTTTTGTCAGTACATTCATGGACTAGAAATATACATATTAGGAATCATAATGATTAAAAATTAACTTTTAAATGAATTTATTTTATAATGGAACTTAAAAATTAACTTAATAACCCTTTTTAAACTAATATTACTAGAAAGCATTTATTCTTTTAATAAATCCTCTGTATTAGGAAACTGTTTTTCCTCAATAACTAACCCTTTATTTTGTTCTAAAAATTGTTTGAAATTATGATTTTCCGAATATATATATATATATTATATATATATATATATTGTTTTTGAAGGATAAGGGGAATCAAACTGAATAGGGGAATAAAAGAATCATAGATATCCCCAATAAATGTCCATGTTTTAGGGTTTGCTTTAGGAAATTCAATTTAACCATGGAAGTTGAAGTTGATTGAAATAAGAATTTGAAATATGAACTCAGATTTTATCAAAAAGAAAAATATAGACTGAATTTAACCAAGGAAAAAAAGGGTAGATGGATTAACAAAGGAATTTAAAAGACAAAATATTAAATAAGGGTAATTTTGGAATAAAATATAAAATTATTTATAAATTAAAATTTTTAAATGATTTAATTGTTATTGGGGCTCTGAAAAAGATTAAGTGAAGCTTAAATCAATAAGAAAATGAAGTCAGCTCATATACAACTTTGTGAAAGCCCAATGAGCAACGAGGTTAGTGTAAGTGCCTAAATAATTGAAATCACTTCTATGATGTAGCCATAAACAAACCCACTATCCCAAGTAACCTGCTACTTGGGAAAGTGGGGCAAAGAAACATCGACACAAAATAAAGCTCCGGGAGCACAACCAAGCTAGGGCCAATAAAATGAAAGGAAGATTATGCCCAAAATCAATGAATGGTCCATACAAAACAAGTAAGTCATTGTACTGTTTTTTCTCTATTTTTCATAAAATTTTCGTTGAGCCACAGTCTTGTGCATTTTTTACTAACATCGATCGGATAGCTATGAAATGGTTGAACAATAAAGTGTATTTGAGCACTTGACTTTATTGATTGGAGTGTTTGCACTGAGCATGGCATATCCTTCCCCAATCGAAATTGTTTAAATTTGTTCAACAATCGTATAACGTGCACTACCTAATCCATTTTCCATCTAGTTGTATGTATTTGTCCTTACTTTGCTGCCATTTGAATCTTTTAATGAACAGAAAGAGGACAAGAGAGTAGTTATATTGAGCCATGAATATAAAGGCGTGCAATTTTATATGTATAACGCCACGTAAATCCAGGTTAGCGATAAGTTTAGACAAAAACAACATTACAATTAAGCTTGCTATTTTATTCATTAAATTTTATTACACTTTGATCTCTTCAATTATTGATTTTCTGGCTTTGTTTTAGCCAATATTCTAACCTATGACTACAAGCTTAAAAGCATGTAGTACCATGAAAAAAATTTTATGCTGGCGTTGAGTATTAAATTGATAAAATTATGATTTAGGTCATTTTACTTTATGACAGTTTATTTCTATAGAGAACTTGAACTTTTCATTTATAGTTTTAAAAGTATTACAGATTATCGTGGAAGCACACGACATATAAAGACAAATGTATAAAGTTAAAAAAGCGACATCTTATACTTTACAAAGATCATGACGACAAAGCCCAGCCGCTCAATGGTAAGAAAGGATAATTAAGTGGCAAATTCTACTAACCATCCATTTATATATATATATATAAGATACACCCCTTTTATTTAATATAATTTTTATCCTTATTGTAAACCTTTGGATTAAAGAATAATTGGTGGTTTAGATTAACCCTTAATGTAAGATGTTTAAGGTTCATCTTTGTAATGGACAGATACACCCATAACATTATAGTTATTTGACAAAATTTTCCATTAACAAAATTGAGGATGTCATTATTGGGTTTCATGAAGTGGCTCAAACATACTTACATAATTATAAAATGAAGCATGTTAAAATGTGACAATTGAATGTCCAATGGTCACACTTTCCATACTATCTCAATCACATTTGGTACTTAAAATAGATAAATCAAACTAATTTATTTCATTTATCTTTAATTTTAAGTCATTCAATCGTATTAACAAACATCAGTTTGTATATATAACTATGTCAACTAAATTGTACAAACTTCGTTCAAGCGCGTCTCTTATCATTTTTTTAGGGTCCAAAAAAATGAGGGATTCAGAGGTAGAAAAAAATTTAAGAAGCCGCATCTAGGGGGTGGCTGAATCACATTTTCCCTCCCAAAGTTTGGTGAATGTACTTTTCCCACTCCTGATCTTTCAAAATAACATGTTCCCACCCATTGTTAAAATCCATTAACAGGAGTCTATCGGCAAAGCCGGATAACATTTTTCCACCCACACTTTATTAAATATATTTTCTACCCCTAGTTTTGTTCACACCAGGCTCAGAATAGCACCAAGCTAGGTGTGATTCCGGCAACCAATGCACCCTTAAACCATTACCACAACAAACAAAAATATCAAAACTAAATATTATATTTAACTCAACAAAAGCAACCAATGCACCTCAAACAACCATCAAATTCACCTTGAAAATGAACAAATCTATGAAAACATTAAACAAATAGTGAGAGAGGGAAAACAAGAGTGAGGAAAAAGAAGAAAATAAATTAGGGAAGGTGGCGATGAGGGAAGGTGAGCAGCACTGCAGCAGGTATGAAAAAACATTGGGTGTGGAGATTTGGGGGCATTGGGGTGGGGAAGAAAGATAAAAGGGGTTAGGCAATTATTTCTATTTTTTTAAATTTGATTTTTTTCTTAATTATTAAAAACTGATTATTTATTAATTTATACATTTTTTCTTTTGTTTAAAAAACTTAATTTTTTATTTTATTTAATAAACTGATTTTTAATAATAATAAAAAAAGATAAAATTATAATTACTGTTTAGGGGTTGCTGATATTTAATAGAAATTAAATATAGGAGTTTAAGTGACTAATTTAAAAGTTGGTGAAGATAATTATTATCTATTTGCATTTTAGGGGTGTAAGTAAAATTAACCCTTTAAAAACATTTGTGTGGACTGACAGGAATGCCCTTTTACTGTTAAAACTAATGTCTGAATTTTAACAATGGGTGGTAAAATGTTTTTTCAAAGATCATAGGGAGGAAAAGTACATTCACCAAACTTTGGGGGTTTAAATAAGTTCAGGGAATAAGGGTGGAGGCTGGCAAGAGGGGAGGGGCGGGCCAAAAGGTTAAAAAATAATATTTCCTCATGAAAATGACACATTTGATATGAGTAATACTAACAAACATTTTTCAACAACTTTCTCTTACAAATACGATAGTTTGCAATTAGTCAATTTATATAGGTTTTGTCTAACTAATACGAACTACCATATCGCATTTGTGAGAGAGTGTTAGTGAGAAGTGTACATCCAATTATCTTTATTCATTTTATATATAAGTTAAAAAACATTTTGCGGGTCTGAGGTGGCCATTCCAATGCCTCACATAGCTCTGCTTCCTGGTGGTAATCTACACATTTGTCATATTAATTACTATAAATTATCTCAAATCTTTTTAATTTTAAGACATTCACTCATATTACAACAAATCAGTTTGAATGAGAATAAAAGTCGGCTTTGGTGCAAGTGTTGAATTTTTTAAGTTAAGAGAAATGTATATGGATTTTAGCCTAATCAATCTCATTTTTTATTTTTATTTTTATTTTGTGTCAGCACAGGTTAACGCATCTTCTAAAAAATTACAAGTCGAGAGCCTCCTACAACCTTAGCTTGCTCTTTATATATATCTGTATGTGAAACTATGGATGCAGCAGATTGATTGCAGTCAACAATTCATTGGTTAGCTTGTTTAATATATTCAAAACAGTTTCGCTGTTTTAACAATCGAAAATACTTCATTAGAAATGGCTGGAAAAGATGTCAAACTGAGCAATGGTTCACCATTGCCATATACACATGATCATGAAGAGCCAAAGGATATGGAGAAAGGTGCTATTTCAACTAGATTCAACTGGCCTTCCCTTCAACTACTCTCTGGTAAGCTCTCTATGTTACTCGACTCAATCAAATTAGTTGTGTTATTTTCATAATTTAATTTTTCATACGCGCAGGGCAAGGAAGAGCTTACTCCGAAATATGTATGCCCCTTGTTAACGCCGCGATGAACGGGGACATTAACGAAGCTCTTCGTTTGATAGAAAAGAATGGAGAATACGTGCTATACGAAGCAATCACAGAGGGTTATGAAACAATTCTCCATGTTGCAGCAGCTGCAGGAAGTATCAGCTTCGTAAAGTTGATGTTAAAATATATGAAACGAGAGGACTTGATGTTACAAGACAAAAATGGTAATACCGCCTTTTGTTTGGCTGCTATGATTGGCAATTTACAAATTGCCAAGATTTTGCTGGAAAGGAATAGAAGTTTATTGACATTCCGAGGTGGTCAAAATATGACACCACTCTATTTAGCTGCTTTGTTTGGACAACGAGAAATGACAAAGGTTTTATACCTTGGCACTAAACAAATTCTGACCCAAGAGGACCGAAAGGCTATCTTTTTAGTTAGTATCAACAATGGTCTTTATGGTAAGTATAAATTGAAATTTTTTTCTTTTCTATTGTTTTTATAATAATTATGGGATTCTTGAAACTATGTCAGATGATGTTGCATTATGATATAAGAAAGTCTTAAATAAAATAGACGGTATAACATGACTCAATCGTTTTAATAGTTTAAAGAAGTTACGACTTAATCTAAAAGCTTAAATAAATATTTCAATCTAACGAAAATCATAGGAATCATAAAATTACAAAATATATGTGCTTAAAAATTTTGTTTGATTTTCTCAGATCTTGCTCAAACATTGCTAGAGAATGATAGAGAGCTAGCTATAGCTCATCATGTTCAATATGGAACGGCCTTCGATATGTTGGCCCAAAGGCCCCAAGAGTTTGTTACTGGAAGCCCAAGACTATTCAAGAGACTGATCAACTCTAGTAAGTTTCTCTGATTTAATATGGTCAATAAATTTAAGTTGTTTTATGGGTTAACATAGACCTCTGAGATATAACATAGTAATAAAATTCCCTTGAAGTTTTTAAAACAACAAAAATCCCCTATTGTTAATGAATTGTTAATAAGACGTTAAAATTTACACGGGCATGAGTTTATAAATATTACAAAATTACCCTCTTACTGTTTATTTCAATATCTAAACCTAAAACTTAACGTTAGGGAGATGTATGTTATTTCTGAAACTTTAGGAGGATTTTTTATTTTTATTTTATCATACCTCAGGGGGATTAATTATTAACACTTATTTTATTAACAAAATAATTTTTTGTGAATAAATGGATGAGATAACATTAAATTGTGATTTCAAAGTTAAAACAACTATGAAGAAGTTTTTAAGGGCACAAACTATATGGGTTATATTAGTATATCACTCTGAAGACAAAAGCTTATTAAATAATTTTTATCCGGTAATGGAGGTCCAACAATGGTCGGGTTTCCATTTTTTTTTTTTTTTTTGAATTTTGTAAAAGTATTTTACTTAAAACAATTGATTTATTTAATTAATTTTTAATAATAATTTTATTTGATAATTTAAAGCATATATGGGCATTTTTATCATTATACATTAGAAAATCAGCTTAAGGAATAATCTAATTCTAAAAGCTACCATCCCTTTACTAATCAGCTTCAATAATAATTTGTTTCAAAATTAGTTTACTAAACACTTTTAGTGAGTTAGATTTTTAAAGTTACAACAATCCCAAATACACTATAAAATGAACTTGCATTGACAGTGATAAAAAGTCAAATAAAAAAGAGGAAATCAAACAAAAATCTGATATGTAAATGAGTGAGCATGACCCTTTTCATAATAGATCCTAGATAATCTTAAAACTAAAACATACACGAAAACCTGTTTTATCTAATTTCTCTTACACCAAAATTATCGAGCCCTAGAAGTGATTCTTAATAGAAAATTTTCACACAACTTTTATTCGAACCTATTTGGGTGGGCTTATAATAAATTTTATTCAAAATTATAAGCACTTTTTTTTCTTCATGTTATTTGTTGGGCTTATAATAATCCAAATCTTGAAACCTTTGTACACCAACTCTCAGGTCACCGACTCAATCTCATTTTTTTTTTCCTCTCTCTCTAACACTTTAGGACTTGATACTTTTTGATACTTAACTTTTTCTACTCGATGCTTTACTTATAATGGTTGGTGATAACGAAACCTTTTCCACTAAGGAGATGATTTCATTATTAAACCAAATATTTAATTATTAAACCAAAGAACCATTCCATTAAATATTTGGTTTCGAATCCTAAAACAACCTCTATTCGTAATTCCACTATGACTCAAAACTACAATTTTGAGTCATCTTTAACATGATTATTGTGATTGATCTTTTGCTATAATTTTTATGTAGCATTTATATAACTTAATTCTATGATTATGTCGTCACATTTTCAATACTTGTCACTCTTAGTCCCAGGAGCAATGAATAAGTATACTGATCTTCATGCTGAAATGACTTCAACCCATGTACTTAAATTACTCAAATGTCTTTTGAAAGAAATATTACAACGAGAAGACGAGGACACTGTGGAACTAAAAAGAAATCTACCAGAGTCATTGTTCATTGCTGCCAAAATGGGCAACTTTGAATTCTTGGCCCATCTTATTCGCTCTTATCCTGATTTGGTTCATGAATTAGATGAAAATGATCAAACCATATTTCACATTGCAATTTTACATGGTCATACCAATATATTGGATCTACTTAATGAGATAGGCTTCGCCAAGGAGTTATTGATGACCTATGTTGATAAGGATCAGAATAATATTCTACATCTGGCTGCAAAATATCAACATGGAAGTCCAATCACCACTCTATCATGTGCAGCTTTACAGATGCAGCAAGAATTAGTAAAATTTAAGGTAACTTTTTCCGTTTCTTTATATTTGATTGATATAATATTGAACCAATTGAGCCTTCATCTACTAACTTAAGATTTTAGGTAAGATAACAACTTAATTTTGTATAAAGCTCGTAACGATCCAAAAATTTCTGTTAAGGTAGGCCAAAATAAAAGCAAATTGCACATTGATATTTTTATCCATTAATATTTCTATTAGAGTCAGCCAAAATCTAGAAATTGTATATATTAGCATTTTTTTTTAAAAAGAAAAATTGAGAATGGGCTATGGCCCAAACTAGGCTGGATCCACCCTGATTAGAGTCATAAGTCAAAAGCTCGAATCTTTGCATTTAATTGGATAAAGAAAAACTAAAAAAAAAAAAATCCAAGTTTTGTTTTTAGGTAGATGACAACTTAACTCTCTAGTAGAATTGTGTTGATAAACGTTTTGCAGGTGATGATAAATTCTAAGACAATAAGATTGATCAAATTTTCTCACATTGAAACTTCTAAAATTTTGTGTTTTAGTATTTATTGTTACCGTTTGATGGAAGTCCGAATTACAAGAAAATGTGGGTATCTATATCTTAGAATTTCCATTGATTTCCATATTTTTATTTGATGTCACTTAAATTATGTGTCAATCCATCTAACTAATTATTATTGTCTAATTAAACTACTGCATGTTTTAGGAGGTTGAAAAAATTGTGAAACCTTACTACAAGGAAATGAAAAATTCAGAGGGCCAAACCCCTCGAGAGTTATTCACCATTGAACATTCAGAACTATTGAAAAATGGGGAACTTTGGATGATAAAGACGGTTAGCTCATGTATGATAATTGCATCCCTTATCACTATGGTGACATTTCTAGCAGCTGTCAATGTACCAACCAATACAAGGGAGAATATAAGTTAGGTCTTTGTTGTGGCAAATGCTGTCGCATTATCCTCCTCTTCGATCTCAATGCTCATCTTTTTATCTATTATTACATCTCGTTATGCAGAAGATGATTTTCTCAAATTGTTACCACTAATGTTGATGGGTGGACTCTCAATGCTCTACATATCTATAACCACCATGATGATAGATTTTTTCTCTATCCTTCATCAAACATTATCATGATAGATTAAGTTGGGTATCTATCCTTTCCACTGTACTTGTGTTTGCCGCAGGCTTTCTAATTTTTCTTCCACGACTTTCACTTATCGAAGGACTATTTGTATTCTTCTTAGGGCTTGTATATATTTTGGATTAGTGTTTATGGTTGCTCAATGGTCATGTTAACTCTAATTATTATTATTATTATTATTTTTTGTTGAAGTCAATTTTGAGAGAGTATTTATTTTGTTTAATTAATTTCTACTACTTTGCATGTTCATATCGTGTATTAAAGATTAAAAATAGAGAGAATGCCACTTACAGTTGGAAATGCGTATCAAATTTGGCCGGACTAGTTCTGCTCAATAAGGTGCATGTCCATATAATGTTGGAAAACAAAGTAAAAAACCAGAGTCCCACATAGGAATGGAAAAAAATAGAGAAGTCTTTATAAGGACTTACTTATCGCAATGTGGTAAACAGATGAGCTCATGGCTTCTTAGATGCACGAGGCTTTGTAACCGTTGGTATAATTCTGGAAATTGGTGTGGAAACTAATGATATGGGACTTCGCCGTTGATTGTGGGATTTTAGTATTTTTATCATAATTAAAACTGAATTTTAATTTACTTTAATTTAATTTAAATTAAATTTTAAAAAGTCAATTTAAATTAAATGATTTGGTATTTTATTTTAGTTTTTTTAAAAGAAAAAGATAATGGCTGGGGTTTTTGCCCAAATAGTTTTGGACTTCTGTCCTACCCCCTAGGCGGATTGAACTCAAGTGACTAGTCAAAGAAGGTTATTGGCGATGATTAAGAACACGACTTGTTTACTGACCCAACAAGGGGGTCGTGTCATAAGTTGGCTAGTCAAACTGGTCCGACCCGACATGTCATCATGTAAATTAACACTAGAACTTTCAATTGTGAAAAAGGCAAAATAGATTGGTGATTTTTTTCTTCCCATAACTTGTATGCAAAGTCATTACATTTAGCTGGATACCAGCATTATTAAAAATTAAGAGATACATAATAGATCAACCCATGCTATAATTTAGGCATGCAAATGGAAGACCTAACATTTAGGGTTGATATAATTTATAATTTAAATTAATTTGAACTCTTGGGTAGGACAAGACAACCTACATGCTATAAACAAACATAAATTTGATTCCATATTTGCATTCCAACATTGATTTTGAATTTGCAAAAGAGTAAATGACATGTTCCCCCAAGGTTTAACGAAATGGCAAGTTGGTACCCTGGTTTCATTTATTCTAGATTTTCACTCTTAAAGTAACACTGTTAGCCATTGTTGGGTTCTAATACATGTGTAGAGATTGTAATTACTGAACTGTCCTTGAACCTTTTGACTTTTGATTATTTAGAAATGAAAAATTCAGTGGACATGTAAAAAACCGAGAATGCCCCCATATTTATTTTTTATACCCATAATAAATTAATGAAATCACAATAATGCCCCTTTATTTTAACTCTAAAATGCCAAATTTTAGAGGTAAATTACCCTAAACCCATGAAAATAAATAAAACAAAATCCCTTTCATCTTCCTGGTTTCTACCCCCTAGCGTTGTCGCAGCCTCTTAGGCCACTTTGGCCATTCACACTGGCGAACAAAGGTGAGGGTCCCCAAATGATGACTAAGGCCTGAGCGGCTCGATCAAAGCATGAGGATCCCTAGATGATGACTAAGGCATGAACGACCTGATCAAAGTGTGAAAGTCGTCGGTATCGTTAAGGTGCCTCAGGCCAGGTGGTCGCCTTCAACCAGCGCGCAACCACTTGGCCAGCCCGCGGCACTGACTGCCCCACCTAACACCACTAACTACTCCCCCTCGTCATCCCCATCAAAACCCCGACATCATCTGCAGTCGCCGGTCACCCAAGTCTTCTCTCTATCGCGGCGCTGCGTGACTCCATGCTGCAACTCTACATTGACGCAAACTGCCACCATCAAGCATATCGATCGAACCCCGTCATCTATTGCGCGCCATCTGTCGTTGTGTTGCTTTGGTTTTTGATTGAATTGAAGTTTGATTAAGTTGTTTGTTTTTTGAATTGGAGTTTGGTTGAATTTGAATTTTGATTGGTTTGTTTGGGAGTGTGATTTCTTTTTTTTTTTTTTTTGCAAAATTCCAATTGGAAGATCACAAAAAAAGGGGAGACAGAGGTGTTTTTTTTTTTTTTCTGTGTGTGTGTGCGTGCGTGCATGCATGCGCGTGTGTGTGTGTGTAAAAGCTTTTCGACCTTGCTTTAAGATCGGGAAAGGGGTTTCCCCGGTGTTGCGCAGTCGAAATGTGAGATTTGGTTTGAGCGGGAGGTGGTAAAGGATGTAGTAGGTAGAGGTGGGAGCTTTGGTGGTAATGGAGGAGAAGATGTTGGAGGTGGCTTAGGTAAAAGTGGAGGCTTTGGAGTTGGGGACGGTGTTGGTGGCGAGGCCGGAGGTGATATTGATGATGGTGGTGGTGGAGTAGAAGGAGAAGGTGGAGTTAGTGGTTCTTCACTTCTTCTAGCCATGATGGAGGCTTTGGTGTTGGAGAAGGTGGTGTTGGTGTTGGTGCTGGTGCTGGAGGAGGTGATGGTGGTAGGGTGGAGGTGGAGGCAGAGGCAGAGTAAATGACTATTTTAACCTTTCATTATTAAAATAAATGAAACAAGAAATCTGGAAAAAATGAAACTAATAGTATATTTTGCAAAGAGTAAACGACATGTTCCCACCTGAGTTTAACAAAATAGCAAATGATTATCAATCATAATCTTTAAGTATGACGGACAACCATCTATACAACTATCAACCTGAATATTTAACACAATTGAGAAAGAACTTCCCTCATTTTCATAAACAAGGAAGCACAAAGGATCATAGTTGCTCCCAAAATCATGTCCAAACAATCGCTAGGTAAACACAACCTCCATCTGTGATTCGACTAGATAACTATATTCAAATTCACATATAAAAGAAAAAACTATTACTTATAAAAATCGACATAACAAAATCATCCAAACCATATATTTCTAAAACAAACTTCACATAAAAAAAAAAAAAAAAAAAAAAAAAAAAATCCATTGATAAAACGTCAAAATTTCCCCAGCAATTCTCCTTAACCATCATAAACTCCCCTAATAAAACCTTGTCATTATATTATTCAAATTAGTGGAAGAGAATTAGGCAAAGAAGAAAAAATACCAAGAGATTATCTTCGTCTTAGTTTGATGAGAAGAGAACTAGGGATTAGGGATTACCGCTATCTGAGAGTTTACGATTCAGGCTGAGTGTAGAAGAGAATTAATAGAAATTTCATAATTGAAGACACAGAATGACGATTGATTGAACACCAATGAACACAGAGGGATGCCGACTGACCAGTGACCATAGAAGATGAGAAGAAGTGAGAAATTGTCGATCTTAAAAGCAAAAATGAAATTCTGAAAATTTTGGGATTTCGTATGTGAACCGGTTTTCTGTCCAGACTGGGTGGACCGGTGGCTCACTACTATTTCGTCAGTCCAACTTCGCTCCAATCCGGGTGAATGCATAAATATATAGATTTATTTACAGACCAGACCAGATAAGAGGGCAATCGATGGTCAAATCGGCCGGTTTGGGCTGGGTTCCTAATCATTGGTGACTAGTAAACCACCCGACTGAACTCCTAAGCGCAAATGCTTTGGTCTTCTTTGTTGCTGGTTTTTCACGTGAATGAGTTGGGCATAGTCGAAGGTGCGTTCTGATATCGTGGTTGATCAATTCAACGCACAATCAGTTTAGTTTCTAATCGATTATTCAGGAAAATAATAATGTGCGGACCAAAAATTAAGCTCATGAGAGTAATTTTATTCATTGTAAAAACAATATTTGAGAATCACAAAGAGTTTATGTTAGTTAATTGAACAGGCATTAAATTTATCCTTCCTGATTTGTTTTTCCACCACAGAAAAAGAAAATAATTTACTGTTTCTTTGTTGTTCTAAATTTCGGTTTAGAGTAAACTAAGCCGGAATGTAGCCATTGAAGCCTGGAGTCGATCTGTCATTGAAACCTTTAAAGCAGAGTCTTACCAATAGGGGTGAAATTGGTCTTTAGGCCAGTGCCTCTTTGCACGCCTTGGCTTCACCTTTGTAGCTTCAGAATTGAATTTCAGACTTTTGTAGGAATTTATTTTTTGGCGCATAAGAAGATAGGCATTGGTTTTGGTTTTGTTTCTTCTGTTTTAATTTATTTGCCATAGTCTTCCATTTTAACCTCACTTGGTCTTTGCGCAAAGTTTTAATTGATTAATCTGTCTTAAGAAATTAGTTTCCTAATTTTTTTGCAAGAACTAAATTGTAAGCTTAAAATCTATAGAGGGCAGGGTGTAATTTTCCTAGGCTAAGGATTATTTCGCTGTTTTTGTTTTCCAGTGTAATTTGTGGACCACAATAAAAAAATGAAACAACCTAACACATAATGACTATTTGCTCTGCTCAAGAGCTCAACGGTAATTAATCTAAATTTCCTCATGGTATATATTTCTAGAATGATATTACGTATATATTGTTAGAGTGTTGGGCTCATACAGTGACGTTTTATTATTAAGTGAGACGACGTCGTTTTGAGCCAAGCAAAGACAAATCCTGTCCATTGGCTGGCTGAGCATCCAACGGTGGAAAATCAGTCTGATAGTCAATAGTATAAAAGCATTGCAACAATCTCTTCTCAATAGTTGAAACCCTTCTTTCGTGTTTTTCTCTTTTCTCTGTAAAACGAATAGCCTCCATTAGGGTTTGGGTACAGTCTTGATCTTGAATCTGTAACAGGGTGTTTGAGTGGTTGGTTTGCAGGCCATTTGAGGGTACTAGAGTTTGCAGTGTATCTTGGGTGTTAGATCTCTTTCTCTAGGGTGTTACGGGTTCTGGAAAGATCTCTGTAAGGGTTTGATTCTTGGTTGAGTTGTGTTTCTGTAATCTGAATCAATATAGTGCAGCGAGCTCGTTGGTTTCCCGAGCTCAACGTGGATGTAGCTTGCTCATATCCGAGCAAGTGAACCACGGTAAATCTTGTTGTTGTTGTTGTGTGTGTGTGTGAATCCTTTTGTGATTTTGTGTTTGCTTTCTGGTTGATCTGTTTGAGTAGTTACAACAGTGGTATCAGAGCCATTTCTCGAAGGCTAGGGTTTCTTTGCAAAATTAGGGTTTTGCAATTTTGGGGATTTTGCAAAATTAGGGTTTTGTGAAATTAGGGTTTCTGAAATATTTGGGGCTTTTTCGAAGCTATGATTCATTGAGTCTCCAATAGGTTTTAGGGAGTCAAATCTAGGCTAAGTGTAAAGGTATAAAGGCTGGAAACCAGTGACCGCCTTAAAAACTGCTTGGTAGTATTTGTCAACATCTGGTGTAACAACGCCACGTACCTCTTAGCCCCTTTCTTTCTATCGTTTCAGGAAAATGAGTACTACTCGCATGGAGATCTCCCAATATGATGGGAAGATCGATTTCGGGAGTTGGAAGAAGAAAATGAAAGCTCTCCTCTCACACAACAAGGTTGCAATTGCACTGGAAGAAGACATCAAGAAATGGCCAGAAGAAAAACTGACGAAGAAGGAGGAGGTCAATGAAGAGGCTTACAATCTGATCGTTCTGAATTTGTCAGACAGTGTCCTCAGAAAGGTAGATGGTATCGAATCACCACTAGAATTGTGGAATAAACTCAATACTTTGTATGCTTTACAATCAGCTCCAAATTTAACTTTCTTGAAGGGTACTTTATTTTCTTACAAAATGGATAGTTCTAGGAGTATAGAGGACAACCTAGACGAGTTTATTAAAATGACTCTGATCCTTAAAGGAACAGATCAAGAATTAGGTAGTACTAGCCTTGCCATGATCCTCTTGAACTCTCTGCCTGATGACTACCAAGTAGTCAAACCTAGATCTAATAGTTGCAGGGCTTAAGGCTAGGGAGTTAGAGTTGAAAGTCTAGAAAAGGAGTGGGTCTAACCTATTTGTTAAAACAAAAGTGGAGTCTAGCCAGACATGGAGAAACAATTCTATGAATCAGGGGAATAGAAACAAGAAAAAATGGAAGGGTAATTACAAGAGTAAAGAAACTAGAAAATGTTTTCTCTGTAATAAGGCTGGCCATATTAAAAAGAACTGTTTTGAACGGATCAAGAAACAAAAACAAGGGAACACAGAGACAAACCTAGCCACTAGTACAAACCTAGTAGATGAACCTGAGGTGCTTACAGTGTCAATGTCTGACACTGCCAATGAATGGGTACTGGACTCAGGATGCTCTTTTCATATGAGTCCAAATAGAAATTGGTTCCAGGAGTTTGAGGATACTGACTCTGAAACTGTTTACATGAGGAACAATAATGCATGTAGGGTTAGAGGTATTGGCTCTATAACTCTAAGTCTTAACATTGGAAAGCTGGTCAAACTCACTAGAGTCAGGTATATCCCTGAACTAAAAAGAAACATGATATCTCTAGGCACCCTAGATGAAACAGGTTGTAGTTATAAGGCTGAGAATAGTAGCTTGAACATATACAAAAATAGGAACCTTATCCTGACAGGAGAGAAAAAGAATGGGCTCTATATATTTTGTGGGAACATATCCTCTAACTGTTTGAATTCTGTGACTAAGTCTGTTAATCTTTCCAACACTGAAAAATGGCACCTTAGACTAGGTCACATAAGCCAAAGAGGCATGGACACCCTGAACAGTCAAGGTCAGTTTGGTAAGGACAAGATATCTTCTCTGGATTTCTATGAGAACTATATACTAGGAAAACAACATAGAAACAGTTTCCAAAAGGGGGTACACCAAGCCACTAGTCCATTTGAGTACATCCACTCTAACCTATTGGGACTTGGGAGGATTAGAACCTATGGGGGAAATAGCTACTTTATGTCCCTAGTTGATGACTATAGCAGAAAAGTTTGGGTTTACTTGTTAAAGACTAAGGATCAAGCCTTAGAAAAGTTTAGGGAGTGGAAACTCTTAGTTGAAAACCAAATGAATAAGAGGGTTAAGGTTCTCAGGACTGACAATGGGTTAGAATACTGCAACCAAGAGTTTGATAAGTTCTGCAGGGATGAAGAGATTCTGAGGCATAGAACTGTGAAACACACCCCCCAACAGAATGGTGTGGCTGAGAGAATGAACGTAACACTCTTGGATACAGTGCGATGCCTGTTATCCCTCCCCCTCCCCACTCGTTTGGGTCGCTAGTAGGATGAAAAACACACGGAGGAAGCGCCGGGCGGCCACAGCCAGACTCTCAGGATAGTATGACTCACGCTGATGTTACCTTCACTAGTTTGTTTCGCTCTCCCACCTTTCCCCGAGCCTGACGGAGATCGTGAGCGAGCTTCTCGTGCAGTCGAGTCCGGCTCGTCAGTTATCACCCCTTTTTACTGCCTGTATGTCTTTCTCCTGTCACGTGTCGCCGAATTACGTGCTCCAGTAGGCTCTGCTCTTTGCGCAGCACCGCTGGTTCCAACTTTCCACTTGTGACTTAGCTATCTCTTCCCAGATCTTCCGAACTCCTTGATGATTAGGCCGTCATCGAGAGACAGTTAAGTAAGATGGAGGCTACCAAGGGCAGCGCGCACGCAAACAGATGGGTGTTTTCT